CCCTAGAATGAAAGGATGACTGTACCGCTGGATGTCCAGTGGCTGTGGGGTGCAGGGAAAGATGAGTTATACTTACCTGAAACTTCCCTTGAAGACACAGCCATGGTATTCCTGCTGACATCTTCATATGGAGGATACTGCAAGAATGCTGGAATCCTCCATAGACAGTGCTTTTTTCCCACCAGCCATAACTACTGACTGCTGGGGGCAATGACAAAACTTGACAAAGGTATCTCTGCCTTATGGGATATGACGTGACGCTGGCCCCCCCAGCATCACTAAAGGGCATGCAAGGCAGCAGTGCTGGAAGAGCACAAAGTTCAGAGCAGCCCCACCAGACCCAATGGAGAGGATCCACTCAAGTTCGGGCACACACGCAAGCCTACTACAGACCAACGTATTGGCACTCACACGAGCTCAATATCAATCAAAGCAGCCTGGACCTTTGAAAATGACTTGCCCTGGCAGTGGAGCTGACTCTGGTGGCAACAAGAGGTTGCCTCGTGCATGTGGTTGCTAGTACCTGACCTCTACCTGTCAGCTTTAGTAAAGTCCATATTAAGCTGATGGGGTTAGCTCCCTCTACATGAACTCAACCCCCCAAGTACTTGGAGAAGCTAAGAGGAGGTTCCAGTGCTTAACCTGGCAACGTTGTGCAGTCACACAGGGAAGGGCTGAGGGAGCAGGAAAAGTGGGTGCTTCAAATGTAGCTGTCCAAGAATTTTCAACAAATTTTACTGCTTTGTAGATATCTCCATGGCTTCCTGTCTGGTCTGTTGCCTAGGGGGAGAACTTGCCGTGGATCTCCCTCTGGGTCTACACCTAGAAAATACACAATAGCATGAAAATGTCATTTGAAATAGCAAAATTTAGGTAAAATAGCTGGTTTACAAAAGATTTTCCAACTCCGATATATATTCACAACAGCTATTTGAGTCTATTTGAGAATTGCACAATAAGAACGTCAGTTCACTACAGTTTGTTTTATAGCAAATAAACCCCTGTTAATTCAATTCATTCTGTTAGTCAGTATGAGGTACATAAAAATCCAGCAACTGTATCTAATCGATATGTTTTCTGAACTTCTGTTAGAATTAAGTGTTTTTCAATGAAATCTCAATCTAAAATGTCACATCCTTTCCCCGCCAGTATCACTGCCAAAGTAAAAAATCATTATTAGTCAGTATGTGTGAAAAAAAAAAAACAATCTAGCAACCCTATACAATCAGTATTTTTTTCTAAATATCTGTTGGTATTTATTGTGTTTTCAACGTAATAGCAATCCAAAATGTCTCAACCCTTTTCAGCCGGTAGAAATTATTATTGACTTAAAACTGTGCTTAACTTCAGTAGTTTTTCATCATACAATCCCGAGATCAATACTTCCACATCTTGGAGTTGACAGCAACAAAACGAATCCATCTTGGCAAGATCTGACCTGCCTGTTTGACCTCTTTTATAGTACGGTGGTGATGACAGTATGTGTGTCATTAACCTGTTGTGTTGCAAACAGCCCTTGAAAAGTGTATATGCTTCTTTAAGCATGTCCAAATTGCAAATCTTGGCTATAGTGTATATGTGTGCTTGTTGTGTTAATGGTTTTATTTTAGAGGAACAGTGCTCATTTCTTATTTCATTAGTGGGAGTATTATTCACAAGGAAGTATTAGTGTAGGATTGGAGACGTTGCTTGCAAAAGTCGTGAAATCAGGGAACGGATTTATAGTATTAGTTTTGCTCCTGACACTGAAATTTCCAGCTTTAGGTTTATTGTTAGAAAGTGGGGATTTTATTTTTGTTTGTTTTTTTGTCAAGTCCCTTTTTTGTCAAGTCCTTTTTTGTTCTAAATTATAAAAGATTGCAATATATACCTGGAATGTATGTGTCAGAAACTGGAAGTCTGAACTATTTGTTAACTGGGCTGTAATGAGGCAATAATTTAGAGAAGTTGCAGGAATCATAAAATTAGACCCATGATTGGCAATCAAAGGATAAGAGATAAAGGCAATTACTTTACAACTACTTACCATTATGAATGGAATCTTGACTCTGACTGTGATAAATGTAGCCTTTGGCTCCATAAATCAAAATCATTCCAGTCCTGTTAAAGTGACGGGAGGTCTGGCAACCTTTAACTCGAGGAGCAAGCAGGAACAAATTGCATTTTTCTTTTTACAAAATTCACATTTCTCTATGTGGATGGTCCTACTCATGCAAGCATGTAATATATGGATTGATAGATGACATGTGCTGGAGTTGCACGGTATGACATCATATATCACTGCCAAATCCATCACTATGAACTGCATTCAGTGGCATTCATTTATAGAGATACACTATATAGACGAAAGTATTGGGACACACCTCTTAATTATTGCATTCAGGTGTTCCAATCAGACCCATTGCCACAGGCATATATAATCAAGCCCCTAGCCATGCTGTCTACATTTCCAAACATTTGTGAAAAAAATGGGTCATTTTGAGCGTATGCCACCTTTGCAATAAGTCAGCTTGTGACATTCCAGTCTGACAGATATTCCACTGTCAATTGTAGGTGGTATTATTGGAAAGTGGAAATGTCACGGATCCCCATTCCACCATGGACTAAAAAAGGGCTATTGTCACTATGGAAAGTGGGTATAGATCTTCTGGATGCTTATTCTGCCTCCCAGCCAACCTCTGGGGATTGCCTGGATCCGTCCTATGAATCAATCGCCTGACCAGGAAATACCCTGAAATGCTCTGGAACGGTTTTCTGGATTGAGACTGTGCTGTGCTTTGGTCCCTCGACCACCAATCACATCACTATGTTTCCAGCATGGGCAATCTATTGAGACCTATCCAGGGACATATAACGTGTGCCAACCTCCCCGGAAGCCCTAGGAACCCCTTTTTGTAAGACAGGGAAAAGCAGCTGCACCCCTGGAGCTCAAAGTCAGTTTCGAGCCGCTGTCTGATCAATCTTGCTATAAGTCAGGCACAGATTCTCTGAGTAGACTGCTATTTGGACAGTATGGGTGCTCGGAGCAGGGCTATCTGGTGGAGGGAGGGGGGGATGCCAGCCTCCCTAGAGTCCCAGGAACTCCTTTTTGTAAGGATATATAATGTGATGTATAGGAGTGCTGTCCAGGAAAAGGGTGTTTTGGGGGACATTTTGGGCTATATGTTTGGGAGGTACAGCAGAGAGTTTATCTGGTTAGCTGGGGATTTTGCAATCAGGACCCCAGACAGAGTGGCGTAGGACTGGTACTATTGTAAAAGCCATTGGATTGCATGTAGGACTCCCTGGTGTGTAAATCCACATTACCGTGTATAAATAGCTGTATGTGTTCAATAAAACTACATTCTACTCTCCTTCAATTAGTCTCGGCTAATGTGTGGGGAAAACTCTCTATAATCACTGCTTCACAGGAGAAAGAGTCTCTAGAGCTACACCCTGTTCCAAATTATTATTTTGCTCATTTACCTAAATAATTGATGTAAATAACAGTCAGCATAATTCTCATGTTATCAACTATTAAGAGTACAATTAAAATGTTATTGAACAAACCTCCTAATGATAACAGTATTTTTTTAAACATAAAAAACTTACAATGCACTGTTCCAAATTATTACGCACAGTAAGTTTCAAAACACTTTATAAATTGTAAAGAACTGAAAATTGTCATTTGTTGTGTTTGCAGCATATTTACTGAAATCAAAAGCTATTTCAATCAAACTTATAACAACATTTTAACTGTTTAAACATTTTAACAGGTCACGTTACATTTTAACATAGGACCCCTTATTTGATAGCAGCTTCAGAAATCTTGCATCCATTGAACTTGGGAGTTTTTTGGACAGTTTCTGCTTGAATTTGTTTGCAAGATGTCAGAATAGCCTCCCAGAGCTGCTGTTTGGATGTAAACTGCCTCTCACCCTCATAGATCTTTTGCTTGAGGATGCTCCAAAGGTTCTCAATAGGATTGAGGTCAGGGGAGGATGGAGGCCACACCATGACTTTCTCTCCTTTTATCCCCATAGCAGCAATTGATGCAGATGTATTCTTTGCAGCATGAGATGGTGCATTGTCATGCATGAAGATGATGATTTTATTACGGAATGCATAGTTCTTCCTTCTGTACCAGGGAAGAAAGTGGTCAGTCAGAAACTCCACATACTTTGCAGAGGTCATCTTTACACCATCGGGGACCCTAAAGGGGCCAACCAGCTCTCTTCCCATGATTTCGTCCCAAAACATGACTCCACCTCTGCCTTGCTGATGTCACAGCCTTGTTGGAACAGGGTGGCTGTCAACCAACCATCCACTACTCCATCCATCTAGACCATCCAGGGTTGCACGGCACTCATCAGTGAACAGGACTGTTTGAAAATAAGTCTTCATGTATTTTTCTGCCCTACGCAGCCGTTTCTGCTTGTGAGCATTGGTTAGTGGTGGCCGAATAGAAGGTTTATGCACAGTTGCAAGACTCTGGAGGACTCTACACCTTGATGTCCGTGGGACTCCATAGGCACCAGCAGCTTCAAATATCTGTTTGCTGCTATGTAATGGTATTTTAGCAGCTGCTCTCTTGATCCGATGCATGGATCTGGCAGAAATCTTCCTCAATGTGCCTTTATCTACACTAACCCGTCTGTGCTCTGAATCAGCCACAAATCTCTTTATAGTGTGATGATCACGCTTAAGTTTTTCGTGAAATATGTAATTTTTTCATACCTCGTCCAAGGCATTAAACTATTTCACTCTTTTCGGCAGCAGAGAGATCCTTTTTCTTCCCCATGTTGCATGAAAATGGTGCTTAATAATGTGGAACACCCTCCTTTAGTAGTTTTTCCTTAAATTGAGCTCACCTGGAAATCTAATTATCACAGGTGTCCGAGATTGTTTTCAGTGATCAAAAGAGCCCTGAGACACAATGCCATCCATGAGTTAAACTGAAAAACAAAATATTTAATCTTTGAGACACTTGTAACGGATCGCCTGGCACCCCGACTGGGTACCTCCATTGAAGGATGCTCCTAGCGCTTCCTGAGGATTCCAAGCACTGCAGCAGACACCACAACCACCGAACCGGAGAAACAAATAAATTCTCCCAAGCATATGAATGCTGTAGACAGTTGAATAGGAACCATACGAATAGGTTTACTCTCCTAGCAGTCAAACTGGAACAGCATACAATAAATCCTTCCCCCAATAATGAGACGACACTTCACTTTGAGGGTTAAAACAGGAACTCCCTGTACTGTCACATACAGTCTCTTTTATTCCCAATCCACAAACATAGTACAGCCCACAGGGCGTTACAAAACAACCAATCACATACAGTTACATCCCACATATTCCCTCCCCTTATCCTGAGAGGAAACTCAATTATACATACAGTTAAAACATACTTTCTACCCAACTTTCATAACTCTAAAACCATACATCACATTCACATAAAATTACATATTCACAATCAATCCATTCAGGGGAACAACATATTCAAAAAATGGCACAAATCAGACAAGGGGTTCAAAAGTTAGTAAAAAGTCCTTTGTGACTAAATGAAGCATGGCTTTCTGGCCCAAACCAGTTTCAGAGTCTTCTATCCTGGAGATAAGTAATTCAATTATCTCCCAGGATAGACACAAGACTCCATTAAGCACATGGTTGCAAAAAGACACAAAACACTTTAAAATACATAAAGTCACATTACACAGAACACACAGACATTTCACATATCCCCTGATAGCTGGGATCTGAGTGCACATTATTAGATGAATGGCACTCAGATCACACAAATAAGCCTTTCTGCAGGGGAAATAAACAGTTTAACCTGCAGGGCCATAGTCCAAAGGGAGCAGGCGAGCAACCAGGCTTCTCCAGTTCACAGTGGCGAGGTTGGTTTCGCCACACTTCTCCCCTTTACCAACTAGACTAACAGGGTATCTGACCTCCTGCCGGTCAGTGCCCTGGTTAGTCCAGCAACCCACCCACAAAACAGAAACAGCAGTACAGCCCACCCACAATAACTGGTTACTACACCTGGGTAGAGGAGAACTTTGTCCATGTCCAGGTGCCTCACCACGACTGTGTGGGCAACTGTTAGGCTGCCTTGGTGGGTTGCTGAGTGGGCAGAGACCAGCGGTACTCTGCCCTGATGCCAGTGCTACCACGGAAGTAGCCTGGTGGGAGCCTGGTTGTGGGAGGGAGAGACCGACTGTCTCCCCTCTGGATACACCGCTCTGTGGCTGGGGAACAGGACCGACTGTCCCTACCCCTTGTGCTGTAAGTGCAGAGACTACAGTCCCATCTGCACTGTTGGGGGGTGTAACATCTCCCCTTGCTGGGTTAGGCTGCCGCTGGAGAGGGGGTGTAACAAGCTCCTCTCTCTGAACTGTAAACTGCCGCTGGGGAGAGGGGGTATCAGGCTCCTCTCCCTGACACTCTCTCTGCTGGTGGAGAGGGGGACCAGCTGTCTCCCCTTTCATTATTTTGTCCTGTGGTTGGGGTGCGAGACTGACGGTCTCTGCTCCCTGCAGGACACTCTGCCGCTGGGGAGGAAGGACGGCACCTTCAGCTCCCTGGGGTACACACTGCCGCTGGGGAGGAAGGACTGCACCTTCAGCTCCCTGGGGTACACACTGCCGCTGGGGAGGAAGGACTGCACCTTCAGCTCCCTGGGGTACACACTGCCGCTGGGGAGGAAGGACTGCACCTTCAGCTCCCTGGGGTGCACACTGCCGCTGGGGAGGAAGGACTGCACCTTCAGCTCCCTGGGGTACATACTGCCGCTGGAGATCTGGGCCGACCGCCCAGCATCCCTGTAGGGCCGGTTGAGAGACCGCCGTCCCATCTCCACCTGCCATCTGTGGGTCTGCCCAGGACCAGTCTGTGAGGTCCCTCAACATTTGCGAGTAAGGACCACCTGCTTCCGCACCTGGCAACTCCGGCTGCTGCTGGGGATCTGGGCCGGTCCCATCTCCACATGCCTGTTGTGGTTCCTCACAGGACCAGTCTATGAGGACCCCTACTTCGGGTTCCTGCGGCCGCCTCAGGGGGAGACGGCTAGCCTCCTCGGATGCAGCCTCTACTCGGCTGCTGTAACACTCCTTCCGCTGAGCATACTCTCTCTCTTTCGCCAGCCGGAATTCTCGGGCCAGCCTTGTGTTTCGCTCGGCCGTGACCTGGTTCCAGATCACCCGGCGTACCTCCATGGGTAAATCATCCCCATACTGGGCCACTCGCTGCCTCACCTCGGCCATCCAATCATCGCCAGAGCCTTCCATACTTGTCTGCTCCAAGTCGCTGGATACCTCTGCTCCCAGGGTCGCTGCACGTGTGCTAGCGTTGCCCTCAATTTGTAAATCCAAACGAACTGTGTCTCTGAGCTGCTTTACCTCGCACTAGGACGCCATCCCACCGCTGCCACCAATGTAACGGATTGCCTGGCACCCCGACTGGGTACCTCCGTTGAAGGATGCTCCTAGCGCTTCCTGAGGATTCCAAGCACTGCAGCAGACACCACAACCACCGAACCGGAGAAGCATATGAATCCTCTCAAGCATATGAATGCTGTAGACAGTTGAATAGGAACCATACTAATAGGTTTACTCTCCTAGCAGTCAAACTGGAACAGCATACAATAAATCCTTCCCCCAATAATGAGACGACACTTCACTTTGAGGGTTAAAACAGGAACTCCCTGTACTGTCACATACAGTCTCTTTTATTCCAATCCACAAACATAGTACAGCCCACAGGGCGTTACAAAACAACCAATCACATATCAGTTACATCCCACATACTCCCTCCCCTTATCCTGAGAGGAAACTCAATTACACATACAGTTAAAACATACTTTCTACCCAACTTTCATAACTCTAAAACCATACATCACATTCACATAAAATTACATATGCACAATCAATCCATTCAGGGGAACAACATATTCAAAAATGGCACAAATCAGACAAGGGGTTCAAAAGTTAGTAAAAAAGTCCTTTGTGACTAAATGAAGCATGGCTTTCTGGCCCAAACCAGTTTCAGAGTCTTCTATCCTGGAGAGTAATTCAATTATCTCCCAGGATAGACACAAGACTCCATTAAGCACATGGTTGCAAAAAGACACAAAAACACTTTAAAATACATAAAGTCACATTTACACATAACACACAGACATTTCACATATCCCCAGATAGCTGGGATCTGAGTGCACATTATTAGATGAATGGCACTCAGATCACACAAATAAGCCTTTCTGCAGAGGAAATAAACAGTTTAACCTGCAGGGCCATAGTCCAAAGGGAGCAGGCGAGCAACCAGGCTTCTCCAGTTCACAGTGGCGAGGTTGGTTTCGCCACAACACTTAAATGGAATTTGCATAATAATTTGGAACAGGGTGTATAATTACTGCAGAGAGCTGTGACCGCTGCAAAGAGCCATAAGCACAACAGCCTGGTCCAGTGCTGCACAGAGACCCCAGTTAAGTTTCGGCGACTGGGTCTGAAGTGTTCCACGGTCCCTGATTGCAGCTAGGAAGCAAACTTTGTGGATGTACTCAGCAGGAGTACAGGAGCTCTATTACAGGAAGCGTTTAGGGACAGCAGCAACTCAGCCATGAAGCGGAACACCATGTCAAGTCATCGAGCGGGGCAAACGAGTGCTGAGGCACTTGGTGTGTAAAAGTTGCCAACACTCTGCTGATTTCATAGCTGAAGAGTTCCATGCTTCCACTGCATTAATACCAGCACAAAAACTGTGCGGCGGGAGCTTCATGCAATGGGTTTCCAGTTGCATACTAGCCTCGCATCACCAAGTACAATGGCAGGCATCGAATTGAGTAGGGTAAAGCACGCTATCACCACTGGACTCTGGAGCAATGGAAATGTGTTTTGTGGAATGGCGAATCACACTTCTCCAATCTCTGATCCATTAGCCCAAGTGCAAACCCTTACAGTGTTATACAAACAAAGGTTTTGAACTAGTGCTCCTGTCACATTTTGTAATTGTCTCATTTATTGTTAAATTTGCCCCTTTTATAATATTGTAAAGCGCTGCAGAATAAGTTGGCACTATATAAATGCCCATAATAGTAATAAAAGGAAAACATTTAGTTCTAACTAAACAATGTATGACATACGGAAACAGCAGGTGAAGAGGGACCTGCCCAAACAAGCTCACACTTGTACAATTCCTGGCTGCTGCCACACTTCTATAGTACCCTGCCAACAGACATGCTATCTCACCTCCCGTAGAATTTAGTATGTCAAGAATGGAGCGGAAAAACAGCAGCCCACAACTCATGCATATTAGTGGTCCATGGAGTAATTGCAGCCCTCCCATAGTTAAAGTAGATCTAATGGAACTTGGTACACTTTAAAAACAGAGACAAATGCACTCACAATACATTGGAACATCTGTGTGTAAAGTACACTGAACACAATTTAGGTTCACAGAAGCTGTGCCCAGATTATGCATTTTGTGGGTAAATGAAAGTTTTAATATAACTGCACAGCTGGACATTGAAATTCATGTTGAGACTTTTCAATAATGGCATTTCTCCAGGAAAGGATATGCTTGTGGGACGACTTCCCTGCTCCAGTACTGCTTTCTATTGTCTTTCTCAACATGATTTTGTAACATTTCTATTTATGTAATTGTCTGCTCGATTATATTGACATCTATTAGTCTGTATAAAGGTCTGCAAACCTCTATTTCCCTCACCTTAACTTTTATTAGTATTATTATTTTTAATCATTATTATGCTGTATTTATATAGTGCTCAGGATTTGGCAGCACGTGAAATAATGATATAGAAGATACATACAGGGGAATTCAATAAACATTCCGTTTTGTCCGGATAGATAAAATCCAGTTAAAATGGCAGAATTCTGACTGTAATTCTCATATTTACTAAAGCCAAATCCGGTTGTTGGTTCTGTTGGGTTAACTGAATCTGTAGAAGAAGAATACATACAAATGCTGAAAAGATCTTGATAGAATATATCTCAAACAGAAACAAAAAAATAAAGACTATGGTGTAATAGAGTTTAATTTAGCTATTTGTGAATCTAAATTGAGAAAGTCGAGAGAATACCCACACTTGGTAGAGCTAACAGAGCTCTGCTTGAATAAGCGTGGTCGGTATGATCCCTGTCTTGGGATATAGCAGGTAAGGCCCAATAATCACAGGGCTAGAACAGGGGGGCTAGTACAGGCTATCAGTATATATGGATGAAGACAAGGAACTAG